GAAAACCAGAAGAATTGTGGGATGACATCAAGAGGATCACCCATGAGGAAAGCAAGAGGTCATTAAAAATATAAGAACGAAAGAAAAGACCAGAATGGATGTCACAATAGACTCTGAAACTTGCCCTTGAGTGGAGAGTAGCTAAAGCAAATGGAAGAAATGACAAGATAAAAGAGCTGAACAGAATATTTCAAAGAACAGCTTGAGCAGACAAAGACAATTACTATAGTGAAATGTGCAAAGACCTGGAGTTAGAAAACCAAAAGGGAAGAACACGCTCTGCATTTCTCAAGCTGAAAGAACTGAGGAAAAATTTAAGGCTCGAGTTGCAATATTGAAAGATTCTATGGGAAAATACTGAATGATGCAGGAAACATCAACAGAAGATGGAAGGAATACACAGAGTCACTGTACCAAAAAGAAATGGTTGATCTTCATCCATTTCAGGAGATGGCATATGTTCAAGAACCAATGGCATTGAGAGAAGAGGTCAAAGCTGTGCTGAGGGAATTGGTGAGGAACAAAGCTCCAGCAATTGACAGAATACCTACTGAGATGTTTCAACATACAGGTGCCCCACTGGAGGCACTCACTCGGTTATGCCAAGAGATTTGGAAGACAGCTACCTGGCCAACTGACTGGAAGAGATCTGTATTTGTACCCATTCCAAAGGAAGGTGATCCCACAGAATGTGGAAATTACTGAATAATATCATATGCAAATTATCTTACTGAAGATAATTCAAACACGGTTGTAGCAGTATACTGACAGAGAACTTCCAGAGGTGCAGGCTGGATTCAGAAGAGGATGTGGAACGAGGGATATCGTGGAACGAGGGATATCACTGCAGATAACAGATGGATCTTGGCTCAAAGTAAAGAATACCGGAAAGATGTTTACTTGTGTTTTATTGACTATGCAAAAGCATTTGATTGCATGCATCATAACAAATTGTGGATAACATTGAGAAGAATGGGAATCCCAGAATACTTCATTGTACTCACGAGGAACCTGTACATAGACCAGGAGGCTGTCGTTCAAACAGAAAAAGGGAACGCTGCACGGTTTAAAATCAAGAAGCGAGTGCGTCAGCGTTGCATCCTTTCCCCATACTAATCTGTATGCTGAGCAAATAATCAGAGAGGCTGGACTATATGAAGAAGAATGTGGCATCAGGATTGGAGGAAGAATCATTAACAACCTGCGAAATGCTGATGACACAACTTTGCTTGCTGAAAGTGAGGATGACTTGAAGTACTTACTGATGAAGATTGAAGAAATATAGTCTGCAGTATGGATTATATCTCAATATAAAGAAAATAAAAATCCTCACAACTGGACCTATAAGCATTATTACGATACATGGAGAAAAGATTGAAATTGTTAAAGACTTCACATTGCTTGGTTCTACAATTGATGCCAGTGGAAGCAGCAGTCAGGACATCAGATGATGTATAGCACTGGGCAAATCAGCTGCAAAGGACCTCTTTCAAGTGCTGAAGAGCAAGGATGTCTCCCTGAAGACTAAGGTGCGCCTGACACAAGCCATGGTATTTTCAATTGCCTCATATGCATGTGAGAGCTGGACAATAAGGAAGACTGAAGAAGAGTTGACGTTTTTGAGCTGTGGTGTTGGCAAAGAATGCTAAAAGTACTGTGGACTGCTAAAAGAACTAACAGATCTGTCCTGGAGGAAATGCAGCCAAAATGCTCCTTGCAGGCGAAAATGGCCAGACTTCGTCTGACATACTTTGGTCATGTTGTCAGAAGGGACCATTCCCTGTAGAAGGATGTTATGCTTGGTAAGTTGGAGGGTCGAGGAAAGAGGGGAAGGCCCTCAACAAGGTGAACTGACATGGTGGCAGTGGCAATGGGCTCAAGTGTAGCAAGAATCATGGAGCTGGCTCAGGACTGGGTGGTGTTTCATTCTGCTGTGCATAGGGTCGCTATGAGTTGGAGATGACTCAATGGCACCTAACAACAACAACTATTACACTATGTGATCCTCAGCCTATATGATTATGAGACCAGAAGAACTAGATGGTGCCCAGCTATCACTGTCAACCACTCAGAGGGAGATCTATGTAGGAGATATTGGATGGAGTGGGAGAGCAGTGTGGAACAAAACTCAAAATCATAAAAAAGGAAAGGGACCAGCTTTGCTGGTCCAATACAGCCTGGTGGAACCCGTGAGATTATGGCCCCTTACTGCCCTTCAGGTCTGGAACTGAATCCACTCCTGTGGCTTCTAGTCAAACAAAAGACAGGCATATGAACTGAACATTTACATTAAGTAGATACACTCCTTGAAGAGATCAATCATGGGAGAATAGAAGGGCTGTGCATGCTCTGGTAGCATAGTGCCTAAGGCACTTGACTGCTAACCAGAAGGCTGGCGGTTCAAACCCACCAGCCACTCCTCAGAAGGAAGGTTG